ATTCATTGCATTGAGTCTTGCCTATTTTAACAATTTACCAGCACATACTTGCATGGTACTCATACATGTATACTGTTACGTTATCCATATTATATGTATTTTTCTGCATTATAGTTGTTGTATAATCCTGAATCAAATTGTATGTTTTAATCAGAATCAATGGTCTTGTTTCTCTTATTTCAGTGTAGAACTGCTCTGCAGCCCATTTTACAAGAATTTATCTGATAATTTGAAGAAAACAATAGAATCAGTCAAAGATATCCACGATGCAGATCATCAAAAATGTGTGACAATGGTTTGCTATGGGATAGGCAATTTTGCATCCTGTTTGATAGCAAGATACCAGCTAGGATTGTTGCTTTGTATAAGACAGGAATTTCAGGCAAGCTGCTCATTTTTTTTGTTCGTGTTTACACAAAACTGGGATTTGATATGTTTAAGATTATTTTTTTTGGTTGACTAAAAATATTTTATTGTTGGTAAAAGCTTAAATTGAATAATGAATCATTTCACAATAACCGTGTGTGTGTGTGTGTGTGTGTGTGTGTGTGTGTGTGTGGTGCAATGATTTTAAATATGGAATTATCTCTGTTTCAGATTCCCAGTGAAAGAATACACTTGTATGACCCTATGTTTTCCAAAACAGAGATAAGAACATTAAATTCCTTGGGTTGTTCTCTAATCACAGTTAATGAGGTAAAATAAAGTGCAACGCTGTCCACACAGCAGTGCATACCATTGCTGGAATAACATGTCTTTTGTATTCTTAACAAATTCAGATACTGGTATTTGTTTGTTTTTTGTTTGTTTTGTTTATCCAACAATAAAATTGTCATGAAAAATAAATATTTTTATCAAACAAAAGGTAGATTCAAATATATGTCATTCATGAGAGGATGAAATGTTTTCTTCTGTTGTGTTTTTCATTTTCTTCAGGTAATGAAGGGTCTTAAATCTATATTTCCCTTCTGCCAAGTTATTTTAGTTGTTCCATATTACAAGCAAGATCACAATTTGTATCAGTTGCTTATGCTGCTCAGTGCATGATTTCTAAACATTTGCTAAACATTTGTTGTTACTTTATCACACATAATACATGTACTACTGATTGACACCTGTTTATTTCCAGGAAGGGAAAAGACAAGCTGAAGGCTTGACCATATTCCTGATGCTCCACTGTGGTAAGCCATTGTACAACAATCTCCTGTGGGCAAACTGGAAAGCCAGGCTACTGCAGAATGTGATCATTGTCGGGAACAGCTTCAAGAATATGGAACTGAAGTGAGTGAGTCTTCTGCAGTACTGTATTTTTTTTTTACATATTAGCAACGTGCACTTAATAAACTTGAATAGTAAAGTGTGTTTCATCTGCACTAAACTGAAGCCAAGGGTTGTTTATAACAGGTCCAATTTATTTACTAAAATACACAGTCCATTTATTTTTTTAAGTTATTCAAGTTCAAGTTGTAAACAGGCTTGTTATCATAATTCTGTGCACCTGCGATACTGTTGTGAAATGGACCACTTATAATGTGTTTGCAAAATTTGTTTAATTGGAATCCTTGTTTCAGTATACCTCACAGAATAATGGAGGAAGAAGCTAGTTACATAATTAAAGTATCCTTTTTGACAACTGTTGCAAAATCATATTTTTCTCATCTTACTTTTTGTCTTAGCTTAATGTAGTAAATCAGTATCATCATATATATCACGGAGATTTTATCAACAGTGCATGCATTTAGGTAAAGAATCCTTCTGCTTGAAAGAGGATAGTGCTGTTTTTAAACTCCTTGGTTGCAAACTAAGCCATTTTTATCTTCACAATAACAGTCAAGTGTGCTGATCACAAGACTTTATATTTCCATCTTTTGTTAACAAAAATAATTATCAGTTAGTTTAACAAAAAAAGTCCTTGACTGTCAGCAAGATTTTACCTTACGTCACAGAAGTTCCAGTGAAAAACAACTTTGTTCATGATGACATTTTCAACAACACTTCCATTCACTGTTTCCCAGCATGCAATTTAGAGGAAATTCAAAGAATTTTTTGGGATTCAAGTCCTGAACCAATTTATGAGAAAGATGCTGAAATCATATTAAAGAAGGAAGCAACTTTAGAAACAATGTGATTGAAAAAGGATTTTCATACTATTTATTTCATCAATAGAGAAATTTGTTACTGTCAAAAAATAAAATATTTCATTAAAAGTTTGTTGTTTTACTTTACAATTGATAAAAAAGGCTACAGGATATTAACGTTGAAAAACAGAGCATTCATGTACATTACTAACTGCATGTTTATCTTCACTATTGAATATGTGGTATCATGGAAGGGGGAGATACAAAAATAAATATCCTTATCTTTAAGCTTGAAAATTATATAACATGCATGATTGTCATTCATAGATTTATATCTAACTCTCAGTATTTTTCATTCATACTTTGAACATTAATCAAAGTGCAAATGTCAATAAAATGACATTTTCAACCTATATCTATTTGATTCTGTTGTGTTGTGTATGATAACAAATTTTGACAGCAAACTAGCCTCGGCGACTCCTCTCAATTCATGCACTCATAAATATCCTTTTTTTTTGTTTGGCATTCGTGTGTTGGCACATTAATATCCCTTATTTTTTTCTCTAGCGTGAGAATGTATGTTTGTACGTGGCCAAAGCAACCACATGACATTTAACGTTTTTTTTTTAATGGAAAAAATATACATGGTTACCATTAAAGATCAGACGCAAAATTTACTGCATCCTTATGAGTGTACCAGGTCTTTTAAATGTTAGATTTAAACACTTACCAATGTTAATTTGTGATTGGGTAAATCTCTGTTTAATTTAGGGGGTGAATTATGATCATGTTTGACCATTTAACCCTACACGTCCAGTGATAGGTCATCCTCTGGGAGTGTGCGATGTGAACAAGAATCATGATGTCCTCTGCAAATCTTATGTAATTTTTGTGGACTTTACATGGTTTCTTGTGATATAACTACTAGTCCCGTCACTATTTAAGGGCAGGGTTCCACCGATCTTTCACTCTCGTCTAAATCGTACCAAGACAGGTGAGGTTATTGTAGCGAATGTACTCAATTACAATTAAAGGTTTAATTCAATTCTTAACGGTAGTCTTGCTCTTCACGTTTTTACCAGTTCAAAATGTAAGTTGTGCGTTGTATCACCTTTAGTGTACATTGTAGTTGAGCGTAAGTGACGGAAAACTTTGATAATCTAAAATAACGTAATAGGTTAAATGTCACGAAAAATGTACGACTTTGCTGTTGAGATATTCCATTAGATCTGCTGTGTCGCTTTGATTTTAAAGGAGTGTTTAAGAGCCTTGCAATTATTATCCGTCAGTCAAACATACACTAGCTGTTTGCCGTTTCTAATTGAAAAAAAAAAAAAACGACGGAAAGTGCGCCGTTATGTCGGTTAGAGGATAGTTGCTGTCGGCACTTTGAATCTCTGGGAAGGCACTTTATCTGGATCGACATAGATGTAAAATTTGCAGGTTGTAATTGAACGTTTTTCATTTCCAGACATGAAATTCCTCGCTTTTTTCCTCGTTGCCGCCTTTGTTGGTGCCCAGGCAGACTTCGTCCAGTGTAAGAACTTTCATAATACTAGAACGAATGGAATGCAATGTTTTTCGTTACTTCAACCTTCATGATCCAGTTTCCAAAATTGGATTCGTATATTTTAATCATATAAATTTACCTTACTGTTTTTTTAATCTAGGCGTTTTATTTTATTTAAATTTAGTGAAGCCGCATCTTGTTAATTTTCTAGTGAATCTGGACAATGAGATCTCTGCTATGGTCAATGAGATCCACTCTGCCCGCGAGGCGCGTGAGACCAACATGTAAGTAAATATCAAAAGCGATTTTACGACGAATTAAAGTCACATTTTGTCTGGGAAAAAAGAATTAAGGATGAATATATGCTTAAGTTGACTGTCAGTGGCTCACTATGTGACATGTTTTGAAACTGTCTACAACTAAAGCCTATTTCCACACGAAGATTTGTACATAGCTAGGCCTACATGTAAACTTTCATTATAAGATCAAATCACAAAGTTCTTTTTAAAATTGCAAACATTACAGTGGAACTTAGACGTTATAGTCCCAAAATATATGACAAACAGATTATTACCATTCTTTCACATTAAACGTAAATCTTTTTTGAACATGACGGAAAGACACCCTAAAACATTTGAGTTATTTCATAATAAAAGCGTGGCCCTAAATCCTTTTCACATGAAGACACAACTAAACCCTCTGCACGCTTTTATTCAAAACTATACTTAGTGATTATATTTAACTCCGGCGGCATTGAACTTAATCCTCTCCAACTGTCCCTACTCTCACACCCTTTCACAAAATTGATCGTGTCATGTAGTATGCTGAGAGTTCAGTATCTGGGCAAGTTGCATTTGTGTGGGACGAACCCATTAGGAGCAAAAACTGGAACGTTACATATTTCGTGACCCGAAGATTATCATGTAAGATTATCTTAATTTCTGGTGTTCTTTGCCGTTGCACACTGATAAGTTCAAATCCAATGCGTCGCTGTTTTGGCATTATGCCACTTCAATCATGAAATACGCCTCAGTTAAGACAAAAATTGCCCCCTTTTTTAATTCATCTTTTTATCATATGTTTATTTATTTCATTTAAATTTACACTTTAAATGTTACGTTCCATAAAACTTCCTTGATGAAGCTAATTAAATTACATTTGATGCATACTCTTATGCTCCATTTGGTAAATATAGAATAGCAATCTATTGTGTAACCTGGGCCAATAACCACAATACGTCTCGTTTTCTTCTTTTACAGTCTCGAGAGAGCTACCACCACCGCCCTGGGACAAACTCTGGAGGAGAAGTTGAAGAATGTTACCGACAAAATCAACAACCTGTTGTCCACTGGTCACTCTGTGAGAATATCAACGTTTATGAATTATAACTAAGAATTGGAATAATTACCGACAAGATATTTCTACCTTTTTAAATACATAATATTACATACAGAATATACAGAATATATAAACATGGGATAATGTTGTAAAGTATTAGAGGTATCAGATGAAGATTTACACATAAAAAACCCTTCATCTTTGTTCATAACAACATTTTATTATTCATTATTATTCTTTGGTAAATCAAGCCACTTATTATATGTAACGGCGTGCAGTGAGTTAATGTTATCTCATCAAGGCATAAAGATTTTCATTTTTTCCAGGTGGGAAAAGCTCTTCTGGAACAGGCCAAGACCCTGACCGCGCAACTGAAGGAAATGGGCGGCAAATATGTTACCGACGCCAAAGCCATCCTGGGCAGTCTCAAGGACCAATTCTCTGGCTTTTTCCAGGGTATCCTTGACTCTTTTGGCGGTCTGTTTGGTAAGCTGTGATCTTTGTAATGTAGCGTCCACCAACTTTATTGCGGTCACATTACACACAGACACTGTACGTGTCAGTATACATTCTGGTTGTTGTGTCTGTCTGTGTTGTTCACCTGTTTACCTGAAATTTAGTTCGGTGGTTAGTTCAGTAGAAAGTCAGCTTCCTTTTGAAAATCGGCACGATCGGTTTAATTTCATTACTTTTACAAAATTTATTGTTTAGTTAAATGTGCCAATTAGTTAAAATTTAGTTATGGGATTTTGATGTTAATTTTCGATTTTTTTGCGAGCTTAGCTGTACCACCCTGAGCTTCAGAGATAACTTGACACTAACCTTTTCACTATAGCCTATCTTCATCATGTCAAGTTAGATAGGCTATAGTGAAGAGGTTAGTGTCAAGTTATGTCTGAAGCTCAGGGTGAGCTGTACTGTCTAGTTAGTGATCAAGCAGTCAGGGCCCCTCTGCCCCCCCCCTTCCCCCCATTAAATCCGCCACTGGGCTACAGTTATTAATGTGTTGTATATTTTATGCACTTTTAGGCAAACGTGATCTGTTCGAGAACTTTGAGGAGGAACTTTTGGATGAAGTAAAATTTTTCTCTTTTTTATTCTCCCTCTTTTTGTACACTAACATTTGCATTTTCCATAAACCTTTAAAATATCATAGATAATAGTGTCATATTTTCTAGCTTCAATAGTTAAATGCATTTAAGACAAATAATGTTTGATTTTAAGTATCAAAGTGGCAGGTGTTCGATCGTCGTTTTTCATGTAAACTTCACATAGATACCATTCTTATGCAGACCGTGGCTCTGGTTCTGGCTGACCGTGGTGTAGCTGAATGGTGGCAGGGAGTGAAGGACACTTTGTCCCAGGCTCTGGGAGGATTCACCTCCAAGTTCGCCGACCTCCAAGTCTTCATCAAGCNTGTAGTGCAATGATTTTAAATATGGAATTATCTCTGTTTCAGATTCCCAGTGAAAGAATACACTTGTATGACCCTATGTTTTCCAAAACAGAGATAAGAGCATTAAATTCCTTGGGTTGTTCTCTAATCACAGTTAATGAGGTAAAATAAAGTGCAACGCTGTCCACACAGCAGTGCTTACCATTGCTGGAATAACATGTCTTTTGTATTCTTAACAAATTCAGATACTGGTATTTGTTTGTTTTTTTGTATGTTTTGTTTATCCAACAATAAAATTGTCATGAAAAATCAATATTTTTATCAAACAAAAGGTAGATTCAAATATATGTCATTCATGAGAGGATGAAATGTTTTCCTTGTTGTGTTTTTCATTTTCTTCAGGTAATGAAGGGTCTTAAATCTATATTTCCCTTCTGCCAAGTTATTTTAGTTGTTCCATATTACAAGCAAGATCACAATTTGTATCAGTTGCTTATGCTGCTCAGTGCATGATTTCTAAACATTTGCTAAACATTTGTTGTTACTTTATCACACATAATACACGTACTACTGATTGACACCTGTTTATTTCCAGGAAGGGAAAAGACAAGCTGAAGGCTTGACCATATTCCTGATGCTCCACTGTGGTAAGCCATTGTACAACAATCTCCTGTGGGCAAACTGGAAAGCCAGGCTACTGCAGAATGTGATCATTGTCGGGAACAGCTTCAAGAATATGGAACTGAAGTGAGTGAGTCTTCTGCAGTACTGTATTTTTTTACATATTAGCAACGTGCACTTAATAAACTTGAATAGTAAAGTGTGTTTCATCTGCACTAAACTGAAGCCAAGGGTTGTTTATAACAGGTCTCATTTATTTACTAAAATACACAGTCCAATTATTTTCTAAGTTATTTAAGTTCAAGTTGTAAACAGGCTTATTATCATCATTCTTTGCACCTGCGATACTGTTGTGAAATGGACCACTTATAATGTGTTTGCAAAATTTGTTTAATTGGAATCCTTGTTTCAGTATACCTCACAGAATAATGGAGGAAGAAGCTAGTTACATAATTAAAGTATCCTTTTTGACAACTGTTGCAAAATCATATTTTTCTCATCTTACTTTTTGTCTTAGCTTAATGTAGTAAATCAGTATCATCATATATACCAGGGAGATTTTATCAACAGTGCATGCATTTAGGTAAAGAATCCTTCTGCTTGAAAGAGGATAGTGCTGTTTTTAAACTCCTTGGTTGCAAACTAAGCCATTTTTATCTTCACAATAACAGTCAAGTGTGCTGATCACAAGACTTTATATTTCCATCTTTTGTTAACAAAAATAATTATCAGTAAGTTTAACAAAAAAAGTCCTTGACTGTCACCAAGATTTTACCTTACGTCACAGAAGTTCCAGTGAAAAACAACTTTGTTCATGATGACATTTTCAACAACACTTCCATTCACTGTTTCCCAGCATGCAATTTAGAGGAAGTTCAAAGAATTTTTTGGGATTCAAGTCCTGAACCAATTTATGAGAAAGATGCTGAAATCATATTAAAGAAGGAAGCAACTTTAGAAACAATGTGATTGAAAAAGGATTTTTATACTATCTATTTCATCAATAGAGAAATTTGTTACTGTCAAAAAATAAAATATTTCATTAAAAGTTTGTTGTTTTACTTTACAATTGATAAAAGAGGCTGCAGGATATAAACGTTGAAAAACAGAGCATGCATGTACATTACTAACTGCATGTTCATCTTCACTGTTGAATATGTGGTATCATGGAAGGGGGAGATACAAAAATAAATATCCTTTTTTTTTGTTTGGCATTCGTGTGTTGGCACATTAATATCCCTTATTTTTTCCGCTAGCGTGAGAATGTATGTTTGTACGTGGCCAAAGCAACCACATGACATTTACCTTTTTTTTAAATGGAAAAAATGTACATGGTTACCATTAAAGATCAGACGCAAAATTTACTGCATCCTTATGAGTGTACCAGGTTTTTTAAATGTTAGATTTAAACACTTACCAATGTTAATTTGTGATTGGGTAAATCTTACCTCTGTTTAATTTAGGGGGTGAATTATGATCATGTTTGACCATTTAACCCTACACGTCCAGTGATAGGTCATCCTCTGGGAGTGTGCGATGTGAACAAGAATCATGATGTCCTCTGCAAATCTTATGTAATTTTTGTGGACTTTACATGGTTTCTTGTGATATAACCACTAGTCCCGTCACTATTTAAGGGCAGGGTTCCACCGATCTTTCACTCTCGTCTAAATCGTACCAAGACAGGTGAGGTTATTGTAGCGAATGTACTCAATTACAATTAAAGGTTTAATTCAATTCTTAACGGTAGTCTTGCTCTTCACGTTTTTACCAGTTCAAAATGTAAGTTGTGCGTTGTATCACCTTTAGTGTAAATTGTAGTTGAGCGTAAGTGACGGAAAACTTTGATAATCTTAAATAATGTAATAGGTTAAAACGACTTTGCTGTTGAGATATTCCATTAGATCTACTGTGTCGCTTTGATTTTAAAGGAGTGTTTAAGAGCCTTGCAATTATTATCCGTCAGTCAAACATACACTAGCTGTTTGCCGTTTCTAATTGAAAAAAAAAAAAACGACGACGGAAAGTGTGCCGTTATGTCGGTTAGAAGATAGTTGCTGTCGGCACTTTGAATCTCTGGGAACGCAATTTATCTGGATCGACATAGATGTAAGATTTGCAGGTTGTAATTGAACGTTTTTCATTTCCAGACATGAAATTCCTCGCTTTTTTCCTCGTTGCCGCCTTTGTTGGTGCCCAGGCAGACTTCGTCCAGTGTAAGAACTTTCATAATACTGGTCACTAGAACGAATGGAATGCAATGTTTTTCGTTACTTCAACCTATATTTTAATCATATAAATTTACCTTACTGTTTTTTGTGTTATTTTAATCTGGGCGTTTTATTTTATTTAAATTTAGTGAAGCCGCATCTTGTTAATTTTCTAGTGAATCTGGACAATGAGATCTCTGCTATGGTCAATGAGATCCACTCTGCCCGCGAGGCGCGTGAGACCAACATGTAAGTAAATATCAAAAAGCGATTTTACGACGAATTAAAGTCACATTTTGTCTGGGAAAAAGAATTAAGGATGAATATATGCTAAAGTTGACTGTCAGTGGCTCACTATGTGACATGTTTTGAAACTGTCTACAACTAAAGCCTATTTCCACACGAAGACTTGTACATAGCTACATGTAAACTTTCATTATCAGATCAAATCACAAAGTTCTTTTAAAATTGTAAACATTACAGTGGAACTTAGACGTTATAGTCCCAAAATATATGACAAACAGTTTACCATTCTTTCACATTAAACGTAAATCTTTTTATTTGAACATGACGGAAAGACACCCTAAAACATTTGAGTTATTTCATAATAAAAGCATGGCCCTAAATCCTTTGCACATGAAGTCACAACTAAACCCTCTGCACGCTTTTATTCAAAACTATACTTAGTGATTATATTTAACTCCGGCGGCATTGAACTTAATCCTCTCCAACTGTCCCTACTCTCACACCCCTTCACAAAATTGATCGTGTCATGTAGTATGCTGAGAGTTCAGTATCTGGGCAAGTTGCATTTGTGTGGGACGAACCCATTAGGAGCAAAAACTGGAACGTTACATATTTCGTGACCCGAAGATTATCATGTAAGATTATCTTAATTTCTGGTGTTCTTTGCCGTTGCACACTGATAAGTTCAAATCCAATGCGTCGCTGTTTTGGCATTATGCCTCTTCAATCATGAAATACGCCTCAGTTAAGACAAAAATTGCCCCCTTTTTAAATTCATCTTTTTATCATTTGTTTATTTATTTCATTTAAATTTATACTTTAAATGTGACGTTCCATAAAACTTCCTTGATGAAGCTAATTAAATTACATTTGCTGCATACTCTTATGCTCCATTTGGTAAATATAGAATAGCAATTATTGTGTAACCAGGGCCAATAACCACAATATGTCTCGTTTTCTTCTTTTACAGTCTCGAGAGAGCTACCACCACCGCCCTGGGACAAACTCTGGAGGAGAAGTTGAAGAATGTTACCGACAAAATCAACAACCTGTTGTCCACTGGTCACTCTGTGAGAATATCAACGTTAATGAATTATAACTAAGAATTGGAATAATTACCGACAAGATATTTCTACCTTTTTAAATACATAATATTACATACAGAATATACAGAATATATAAACATGGGATAATGTTGTAAAGTATTAGAGGTATCAGATGAAGATTTACACATAAAAAACACTTCATCTTTGTTCATAACAACATTTTATTATGCATTATTATTCTTTGGTAAATCAAGCCACTTATTATATGTAACGGCGTGCAGTGAGTTAATGTTATCTCATCACGGCATAAAGATTTTCATTTTTTCCAGGTGGGAAAAGCTCTTCTGGAACAGGCCAAGACCCTGACCGCGCAACTGAAGGAAATGGGCGGCAAATATGTTACCGACGCCAAAGCCATCCTGGGCAGTCTCAAGGACCAATTCTCTGGCTTTTTCCAGGGTATCCTTGACTCTTTTGGCGGTCTGTTTGGTAAGCTGTGATCTTTGTAATGTAGCGTCCACCAACTTTATTGCGGTCACATTACACACAGACACTGTACGTGTCAGTATACATTCTGGTTGTTGTGTCTGTCTGTGTTGTTCACCTGTTTACCTGAAATTTAGTTCGGTGGTTAGTTCAGTAGAAAGTCAGCTTCCTTTTGAAAATCGGCACGATCGGTTTAATTTCATTACTTTTACAAAATTTATTGTTTAGTTAAATGTGCCAATTAGTTAAAATTTAGTTATGGGATTTTGATGTTAATTTTCGATTTTTTTGCGAGCTTAGCTGTACCACCCTGAGCTTCAGAGATAACTTGACACTAACCTTTTCACTATAGCCTATCTTCATCATGTCAAGTTAGATAGGCTATAGTGAAGAGGTTAGTGTCAAGTTATGTCTGAAGCTCAGGGTGAGCTGTACTGTCTAGTTAGTGTTCTTTTACATTTTGGCTTCAGTATACAAATAAATGCTAAATGGGCAAGAAGGCTAGTGCAAACAAAATATCTTCTAGTATGGAGTAATTTTGATTACTCGGTACGGTTACCAGGGGAGGATCTAAGATTATTTGAAGGGGGGATGGGGATCTGCGCATGTAAAGCCTGTTACTGTGCCTGTCGCTTCATCAAGCAGTCAGGGCCCCTCTGCCCCCCCCCCCTTCCCCCCCATTAAATCCGCCACTGGGCTACAGTTATTAATGTGTTGTATATTTTATGCACTTTTAGGCAAACGTGATCTGTTCGAGAACTTTGAGGAGGAACTTTTGGATGAAGTAAAATTTTTCTCTTTTTTATTCTCCCTCTTTTTGTACACTAACATTTGCATTTTCCATAAACCTTTAAAATATCATAGATAATTTTGTCATATTTTCTAGCTTCAATAGTTAAATGCATTTAAGCCAAATAATGTTTGATTTTAAGTATCAAAGTGGCAGGTGTTCGATCGTCGTTTTTCATGTAAACTTCACATAGATACCATTCTTATGCAGACCGTGGCTCTGGTTCTGGCTGACCGTGGTGTAGCTGAATGGTGGCAGGGAGTGAAGGACACTTTATCCCAGGCTCTGGGAGGATTCACCTCCAAGTTCGCCGACCTCCAAGTCTTCATCAAACAGTACGCTGGAGATCTGTGGGGCAAAGTCAAGGGACACTTCGACAACGTCAAACTTATTGCCCAAGAGGTAAACTGATTTTTCTAAAATTTCAAAATTATTGTGTGGTATTGTTCAACCTAATGGGACTGGATAGAGATTGCACTGTTCTGTCATTTTTGTTTCGCACGTGTGTTTTGGAGATTGACCTGTAAGCATAATAATTTGACTTGCACTGTTCATGATTTTTTAAAATTTTAGACACATATATAACAAACATTTCACAATGCAAGCCAATTGTTCAAAATTGACCTGTAAAAAGCATTATGTAATTGAACAATTGTTGAAAGCAGCTTAATCAAATATTTCATTATACTTTTAGTACATCGGACATGCCCAGAACGCCAGCCTTGCCGCCACCAAGCAGCTGTTGGAGTTCTTGGAGCCATACAAACAGGATTTGGGAGATCTCTGGACCCAGGTTGTTCAGGCTGCCTACAACGCTAAACATATCGTCCTCACTGGTTCCACCCCTCCTCCAACCTTCTAAAATGTAATTTTGTTACGAAACTTCATGCAATAAAATTTGTATTGATTGTTTATTTCATTTATTGGTATTTATTTTATTTTTAACATGTTAACGTGATTGCAGTCGATATTTGAGCATGATATTAGTATTAATTTTAATGGTAAACGTCTAACGACAAACAAAGCAATCACTTGTTGACAACATTATGCAAATGATTTTGACCTGTTGCAATTATTATGGAATTGTTTACAAACGGGTGGAACCTTGCATCTGTTCAAATTGCCACCTGTAGGATAACAAACGTATTAGTAAAGTATATAGGGCAAAATAGGTTGTCCTAGCTGTAACAAATTAATGCACACACACGCTTATGTACATCGACCAAACGAAAAAAATTACCTCGGGCCAGATATATATTTTTAATTAAAATTTTGTTTATCACTCCCTCATTGTAACGGACTTATTTAAATGCGCTTTAAAAAACATTAACTATTAAATGTATATAATTAGATATATCTTAGAATTTGTGGGGGGAGGGGGGGAGATATGATGATTTTCATTTTCTCTAAAGTTTCACCTTAATTTTAGAAAAAAAACATGCCTAACCACATAACCTTACAATTGTGTGGTGGAGTTTAAACGACACATCGCAAAAGTGCTTGATGAAGGCGAAATGTACACATGCCATCTCAACAAACGCTACCTTGGATTTTTCCCAACTCTACATTTATATTTTGATAGCTATTATATGCCCAAAACATACATAGCGATATCGTAAGTTCCATTTGTTGCATTGTTAAATTGCGAAATACTTACAGAGAAAGCATTGTTAAAATTGCGAAATACTTACAGAGAAAGCTTGCAATGAAATTTTGCGTCGATAATTTACCCCTCTTTCTCAATATTTTCTTATTATAGACATAGGATACATTTTCATTTTTGCTTTACTTGTGTATTTAATTCACCTTCCTTTGTGACTTTGCAATTTCACTTTATTTACTGGTGAAATTTGGTTTGCACTGCATATTAAAACATCTTATATGTCTTTCCATAATAAATATTGTAAACCGCCTGCCTGCCTGAGCACACACTGGCCAGGGAAGTAAGAAAAAAAGTTTCATTATGTTTGAATGTTACAGTCATCAGATTATTGTAATTTGTCTCATTGAAATCCTAGCATTTAATGGTTGCAGTGTCAATTCTCTACATGGATTTATCAGTAAGCATATATCAAATTGTATTACTAGGTGTCGAACTATTTTTCCAAATGATGTAGCTGTAAGCGTATACGTATACAGTGAATACACACATTGTGCCTGTACATTATGAATGCCTATCGCACATTTATGAAATGCGTGTGTCTGCGTGTGTGTTGGTGGTGGTGGTGGTGGGTAGGTACATGTAATTGGTAACCGTGTCTAGCCAGGTCATAAGATTAGTCCCATCCCCATGACCTGTGCGGCTTTGGTGATAGCTAACAGTGGTTTGATTTCCCACAAACACGTTTTGTAACGCTATTATGAAATTTTCAAATTTCAAAATATATTGCTATCTAACCTGGTCATTATAATTGTAAAGATATGGTCCATCGTGTGCATAAAACGTACTCTGTCTTGAATAATCTTTAAATGTAAAAAAAAAAGAAATTGTCACAAAGTACTTCCTCAAACGAATTGTCAAAGCGATTTTGGTGCTATTTCCTTAATATACAACTTCAAAATCACCTTATTTATCCATAGCACTATTTAAATGCGATTTATTTATCTATTCATTCATTTCTGTTATTTTTGTCGTTCCTACAATATCACATTGCCATAATGGGTCACTGATCTCAAATTCTCTATTTCAAGTGTTAGAAGATAACTTTCACGACCGGTTTTATTTTGATACAAAAATATTCAATCACTAGCTGTCCGAAAGTGCTTTGTAGATACTACAGTATTGGGTTGGTTATTCGTATTAAAATAATTTTTTAGGGAACTATTCCTATGATGGTATCAAATATTTATATCTCGTAATAAATCATATTTGTTAAAAACTGGGGTCACCATTTACGCATTCATTAATAAAAGAGGAATTTGCTTGTAGCACCCAGAATTTCAGCAAGAAGAAATTATGAAAAATGGTCTCGCAACGAACTGTCTTAAATGCGTTGACTTTAAACCTCTCAGGGCGCCGAACGCACACAGACGATCTCATTTTTCTTCGTGCAGAGCATGTCCAGGTCTATAAAATATCTTTGGCAGCCAAAATTTTACATTATATTTGTGCACTGCTGTCCCCCAACAATTATTTTCATTACAATTTTTGTCTAAAGGAATTTGAAATAATCTATGTGACATGTGACAGGTTGATCATTAATGGCACCCAAGCAAGAGCCGCATGTCCCATTATGTTTGTTAGAAGTTAAATCTCCAAATCAACGCATAGGCTCTCATCATGACGCCAGATAATGCATGTATTTAAACATTCGTCATGACAACAACCGATTTCACCAATCAGTCATGCTCTTCAAATATGTCCAACGTGTGCCCTCTGCTTGGACCGTTTCTAAGATCGCCTCACACCTTGTCACGTAAGATAAGAAGCAGACCACACACTCCCATAAACCAAGGCTATAAAAACCGACGTTGGACACCGTTCGTCCACATTAGCACCACAGTAACTAGGAGGTGAGTTGAACTATTAGTTTTAAAATATCTTGCCATGTACGGTAATATGCGAAATCAAGGAAACGTATGTAAAATGTGCAGGATGCTATCAAAGAAAGAACACCACAAATTTACAAGTAAACTTAAAGCTTTCAGTTGGTTAAGAGTAGTAACTTACAAATTAATTAATTTTCGTGGCTGTACGGAAACGTTTTAAGGTTTGAGGTCACGAGAAATTTTCCATATTTCAGACATGAAGTTTTTGGCCTTCGTACTCGTCGCCACCTTCATTGGTGCACAGGCTGATTTTGTCCGCCGTAAGTAAAATAGTTTTACATTATTTGCAAGTGTTTCGGTTAGATTCATTCAGCATTCTCTGACTTTACAACTTTTTCTCAGCATTTTCTATTCGTTTGAAAGAAGCGGCGTTTGAAGTAATCTTTTCTTCATTTACTTAAAAAAAATGGATGTTAAACTCTGATATGTTAGTAACGATATTTGTCACAGGCAAAACAGGTAGTTTTCGATTTATATCATTATTAGTGAATCTGGACAATGAAATTTCGGCTCTCGTGAACGAAGTCAATTCTCCACGCCATGTCCGCGAAACCAACCCGTAAGTACCAGAAATTTAAGACAGATGCAGTTTTTATCAGGGCCATCAATGGTAGTACCTTTGCGACCGGCCAGTGCCGAGCGTAACGCATAAAAACGTGCTGTTGCATTGATTTTTCGTGCTGGTACAGGAGAAGTTTGAAGATCAACCTGCTCTAGTGGTTGCTCAAATTTAAACAATATTTCGGACAAAAATAAAAAGAAATTAATGGAAAGTTCTTGTGGGGTTTTAAATAGATGTAGGTTTATTAATTTGAAGTTTACAGATTTTTGAATTAATCAATTTTCATAGTGGGGAAGTGCTTTCAGCAGCTGGTTGGTTGGATATAAGTCTAATATTTTAATTATTTTAAAGCGCATTTCATTGAAAATCATAAAGCAAAGCCAGTGCGTTTAATTGGATGTTTAATTGTAAGATCTGATACTTGTTATAGCCTCACAAGAGCCACCCAGACTGCCCTGGGTCAGGTACTGGAGGAGAAACTGAAGAATATCACAGACAAAATCAACGGTCTTGTGGCAACCGGTCACGTGGTATGTGATTTTTTTGTACAATGTCAATGTACAGATCGAAGAACAAAAGTAAAGTCATCGGGTTTCATTTAAAGTGCATGAGCCAGATAATATTAATATTCTTTAAATCTAAATTCGATAAAAAAAATCTAAAGACACTTTGCGTTTGCTGCTCGTGACGTATTTTGAATTACCAAAGCTTGTTTGTACTTATATGTAAAGACTGGATAGAGATCTGAAACCTTTCATCTCAAATTGACTTTTCTCTAGGTCGGCAAGGGCCTGCTAGAGCAGGCTAAGCAGGTGGCAGACCAACTTAAAGAAATGGGCGGCAAATACTTGACCGACGCTAAGGCTATCCTAAGCACACTGAAGAGTCAATTTTCTGGCTGGTTCCAAGGCTTTTTGGACGCATTCGGTGGTCTTTTCGGTACGAATCAAATACACATTTACTGTATCTTAAATGGTTTTTTATCGTTTGAAATATATATTATCTGTAAAGTTGAATGCATCAGTAAATCGGTGTGTTTATGCTGTCTTAGCAAGCCAACATACAGTACGGTACCATATAGTAAGACAAGCCAATTCTGTTTAGACCATTTGTGCAGTGCAACTTCTTAAAACGAAGGACATTCTGTGTGTATGTGTGTGCGTATATGTGTGTATGTGTCTGTGTTTGTATTCTGACTTGGCGTTTCTGAACTCCAATATATACATATGGGTGTGGTACAGAGTGCGCAACTGTCCGGAGCATTTACGCACAATTAAAATTAATAAATAAATTTAAAAAAAAACACGAGATCTGAAAATAAACACTTCTTGACTATCGGGCATACCTTCTAGGTATGCCCGTGAAACTCAGAGTTGGGGTTGATACTTGGTCCGTGGGTCCGTGTAACAGTAAGTCCGCCCTCCATTTAGGTATAATGAACATCTGACCTATGTGGGTCAAAATCTTAGGCGAGGCTTACCTGTGCAAATGAATGGGAAGCGGACACCCTTTCATGCGGAACTCTCTGTCACGTTACACCGGAATCAATAAAAAGTAGTCATATGAAGTGAAATTTCGTTAAATTACAGAGCTTTTTTAAAACTCAGTTGGCAAAGTTCAATGTGAATTTTTTTTATTTCATCTTTGTTTATTTTCAGGCAAGCGTGATTTGTTTGAAAACTTCGAAGAAGAACTTTTGGATGAGGTAAGAACGTCACTTTGTCGGCAATAAATCAGTTCTATTTTTATTTTTAGGGTACCTCTACTAAGAAGGTTAAGTTTTATATACTTAAGTCTAACGATCAAAACACTCTCCAGATTAGTTGATATATATTTTTGCCATGAAATATAGTTGGCTGAATTAGTTCCTTAATGCAGAATTGTATCTTTTTTAATATACCATCAGACCGTGGCACTGGTTTTGGCTGACCGTGGTGTAGCTGAATGGTGGCAGGGAGTGAAGGACACTTTGTCCCAGGTTCTGGGAGGATTCACCTCCAAGTTCGCTGATCTCCAAGTCTTCGTCAAACAGTACGCTGGAGATCTGTGGAGCAAAGTCAAGGGACACTTCGACAACGTCAAGCTCATCGCCCAAGAGGTAAAAAAAATATTTGAAAAATTCGAACACACTTTTCATCTGCGTAATGGTTTGAAAAAACACAGCTAATTTTTTCAGTGCCAGACATTTGGTGTACGTGTATTTCAGTACACGGTTTGTTTCGTGTTACAAAACTCTAGCTGCACAACTTGCAATGATGCAATGCCTATTTTTAGCCTCATAAACTAAGACTTTACAATTGCTTGTGATTTAGTTAAACCTTCGTTGCTTGTTGCGCTTTCAGAATTTCTTACAAGTACAGAATATTATGTCTTCAGCACATGCGCATGAAATATAGTAACTCTACAGCATAAGTAACCTTCAATCAATACAAAATCTGTCACTTTCAGTACCTTGCCCATGCCAAAGATGCTAGCCTTGCCGTCACCAAGGAACTTCTGGAGTTCTTGGAGCCTTACAAGCAGGATCTTGGAAGTCTGTGGACACAGGTGGTGCAAGCTGCCTACAACGCCAAGCACATTGTCTTGACCGGATCTACTCCACCCCCTGTGCCCCCAAGTACGCGTTTTTAATCTTGTTAATAAACACGGACAGTGCAAGTTTATTCGTGACAAATGAGCGAATTTTGAAAACAAGTTTTATGTAGATGGTGAGCAATTATTAGAAAAAAAAAAAAACGTTTAAAGCGTTTATATTATGCATGAAAAACGCATAATTCGACATCACGGGCGTGAGCAAATGCCTTTGACTTAAATAAATCCAGACGCTAAAAAAATAAATAAATAAATAAATAAAATTATCCATTATATAGAAATACGCAATGGCGCAATCTTCTGAAATAAACAGAAAGGGGAGACTAGTACGACCATACGCCAAAAGAAAAGTTTCGACGCAACGCGACGCGACGCGATCAGCATACTTTCTAATACAAAAATTTTGCCACTCATCCGCCCCGAGAGAAACTCTCCGATCCACAAAGAAATCATTGTGGTTTGGTATTTCGAAATAAGTCAAAGAATAATGAAATAACAATATAAATTGTTAAAAAAGATACGTTTTACGTTGTAATAAGAGTGAACCACCTCTGACTGCTTTCTGTTCATTCAATTCTTCACTCTTCACATTAATTTATTTGTGTGCTTAAGATGGAAATTTTTTCTAATCTAATTTATTTTTGATTCATAGAATATGTATTAAAAGTATTTACAGATTTTGATTTGCAAACTTAAACACTTAAACTGTATTGAATTTTGACATTGCGCACGGGGTCTCATGGTGGCGAGGATGACAATGGATTTAGTTCGAACTAGACGAATTAAAACTTGTAGCAAATGGATTTGGATAAAGTAAATGGTATTGACTTGTGCATCTAAAAATAGCTAAAAGTAATAAATACAAAATCAATCTACCTTCATCTTCTTCGTCAAAACACTCACCTCAACATGCTTATGTCACATATCTAACAGTAATCGCTGTTCGTTTTTTTCTCCAATCTTCCATAGATATAGTTTTATCTTTTTATTGATTTATTGTTCGCACCGTTTCAACTGCAGAGGACGATGTCCAGGTTGCCGTATGTGCTTTATATATTACATACAGTGCATATATAATAATCTTTCAGCTGCTGAGGTTGAAATCCGGACTGCAGTTCGTGTTTCAGCTGCTGAGGACGAGATCCAGACTACAGGTCGTGGTTTATATTACATATATATATATATCGTAATGTTTCAGCTGCTGCTGCTGTGGAGGACGAGATCCAGGCTGCCGTTCGTGCTTTCAGGTCTGTTTTTGATGAGGAGATCAGCAAGCGTGATTTGGACGAGGAGAAGAGAGCGTAAGTGACTATACTTATCGATTCCCAAATATGATAATCGTTTTGATCGTTTACACCTTCTACGCATGTTTTAAAGTCGCTGACTAGCGCTGACATGGTAAATATTCAGAAATATTCAAAAAGGCCAAAAAAATGTAGGAATATTATTATCGCTCATCTTAAGGTAAGCTATATTTGGAACGTCACACCGATTTATGCCTATTGCAAGGTGCTATTTTCTATTCCAAGTGTCCTCCGCGCTGTGCAGACCGAGTTCGGACAGGCTTTGGAGACCGCCCTCCAGCAGGCCGTAGAACAAGTTAACTCTGCCGTGGCCCATGGACAGAAGGTATGGGGAATATTGCCGTGAAGTTTTGTTATATTGGACAGAAAGTGACGAAGAGATGACACACGCAGAGTGTTTTTAGTTCTAATATTCTTTTTAGTATAAGTTTTTCTAACTTATCTTTAATTTCTGTGGTTGGACTCGATTGATCTCATTCATGTATCATATGGATAAGAGTTATCAATTTTTAAGTCGATTTGGCAAAGTGCATATCACAATGGATCATTTTCTTGCTTTTTTAAAAAGACATATGGACTCGGAACAATAATTATTGGTAAATAATGAAATGATAATTTGCTAATGATGAAATGGTGATTTTTGAATTTAATTGATTCTTTTTCTTATTTAAAATTTAGGTCACCAGTGAGATGCTGGCGAAGGTTGCCAACTACACCGAGCTGTTAAAGCAGCAGGGAGCCCAAACATACACTGACGCCAAGCAGATTCTAGGTGCCCTCACTGCCCAAGCCAAGCAGTCCATTGAGGACGGCCTAAAGTCCCTAAGTGGCCTGAAGGACAAGTTCACCGCTGCTTTCAAGGATCTTGCCGACAATTTCTTCAAGGGACTCCAGAGTCTTTTTGGTAAGTTTTCCAAGTCATTTGATATTCTAAAATGACGGTTTGTTTAGTTAAGAAAAGAAAAGAAACTGTACCTTTTTCGAACTTGACGTACAGGTACTTATCCTCTCTCCAGTTCGTAAAAATCCGCCAAATAACGTAATGTATGACGCATTACTGATGCACGTGCAATTTGTATAATTTTCTCGTAAAGCGGGAGATTTGATGCTAAAATTAATCCAATATGAATATTATTGTATTTATACGATTATATGCACATTCCATCTGCTATCATTTTTCAAAGGCAAGAGAGGACTTCGAGATTGGTGGGCGAAAGTAAAAGACACCTTAAATGACGTATTGAACAACCTCAAGGTGAAATATGCTGACCTTGTAGCATACGTGCAGGAGAAGCTTGGTGACGCTGTGAACCAGACCAAAGGACATCTTGAAAACATCAAACTTATGACCACAACCGTAAGTAAAGTTCTGTAATTTGGTTATATACTGATATAGAACGTTGTTCAAATTTCAATATATGTATATTTACAGCAAAGTTTATATCATATTTTAGGTCCTACAAAATGCTCAACAGGCCGGTCTTGACAAGCTCGAGGAACTTAAACAGGTTGTGGCTCCTTACAAGTCCGATCTGGGGGATTTGTGGCAACAACTTCTGGATGCCATTGCTCAGGCTAAGGCTGCTTTACCTGGATACTAAACAACTTCAACTTATACGTTTTAAAGGATCCAGTGTAACTTAATTTTGTAATAATGTCAATTTTTGACATTATTGTTATATTGAAACAGTTTCATGAGAAATAAAAAACTGAATTTGATGTTTCACGGTGTTGTTAAACAGGGGTAATTTTTATCCGTTATTTCCGAAAAGTATTCTCCAATGCGACATTGAGCTGATCTAATAGACAATATATGGACATCGGGCTGCTATTTTGTGAGTTCAAACTTAGAAAATTCCTTGTTCTTTGAAATACAATGTATAACTTAATGTATAATTTATTTTAAACATGTTTGATATCCAATTCAAAACAACACTAATATTTGGGAAATTTGATCGCCTTTAAAATTACTTCATGAAAACAATGAAGAATTGAAAAAATGTTTTAGATAAAATAGTTGGTCTTAAATCTTTATATTATTACACAATAATACTGATAAGAGGTGGGGAGTTTGTTGAAAGAAAAAATATGGAATTTGTCAAAATGCAGATCGGTCAATTGCCTTGTAAAATATCGCTTTACAATAAGACATAAGCACAAATGTGTAAAAATAATTTAAAAGGCGACAGAAAAGTTGAAAAGATTGATCAAATTTCCAGAGACCAAGCTGCATGCAAAGATTTCTTCAAGGTAAAATGCTGTTGAAAAATAGCACTGGCCTTTTAGAAGTATTAAAATGCAAACAGGCATTTGGGCAAATTAAAACGAGCAAAATATATACATCCGATACTAAGGTCTTTCTTTCTATTCAAGATTCTTCGATGAGTGTATTACCTTCTGATGCGATAGAAAATTACAACCGTATTTGCCAGGGATCTACCCTTTTTATTGGTTAAAAACTCAAAATGATGAAAAATTAAGTCTTCACACAAATATTCAATTTTAGTGTAATCTCACACTGAGGTATTCGAGGGATTTGGTGGATCTTGCAAACAACCAGTCTGCCTCTTGTTTTCCTTCTTTGTATTACTAGGGGCGAGCCAAATTACCAAATAATGTACACACACTGGACAATAGAAGTGTCACCCCCTAACTCAGAGTGATAAAAGTAGGCAGATCTTGGGTAGTTATAATGCCTGGTCGACTTATAATGTGACTAATGAGTATAAAACCGCTATACCATGGAATTGTATTGTTGGTCTTGTACATGTACAGCAAATGTTATTCCTGTCTTCCTCCAATATGGCAAGATACAGGCAATTATGTAACGGTTATAGCAAATGTTATTCCTGTCTTCCTCCAATATGGCAAGATACAGGCAATTATGTAACGGTTATAGGTGCAAGTTATTAACCTGAAGAGGCGGAATATAAGCAATGTCAGAATATCGATACAATTGAATTGTTCAGTCAGAACCGTGCAGAGGGTCTGGTCTCGGTATAGAAACACTGGATCAAGAGACAAATTGCGTCTGATGGGTCGTCCAAGAAAAACTACTGGCCGTGAAGACCGACGACTGAATTTGATGTCCAGGTTATCAACAAACGACACTGCTTGTCAGTTGACAACACAGTGGAACAATTTCACACATAAGAATGTGTCTGTGAAAATTGCTAGGCGTCGGTTACATGCTCATAGAGTGTACAGCTGGGTAGCAAGACTGAAACCTCTTATATCGTTACAAAACAGGCAACGTAGAGTGAACTAGGGTCAACAGGATCTGGAACTGGACAGTCCATGACAATTAGTCCTATATATTTTTTTCTGATGAGTGTCGCTTTGGTCTGACCTCTGATGACAGACGGGTACGATGCTGGCGAACTGCTGGTAAAGCATTTGAACCACATGCACTGAATTTTCGAACCCGGAGCAGCATATTCATCATGGTGTGGGGCTGCATCATCATCCATGGCGTGGGCGAATTGATAGTGGTTGATGGAAACATGAATCACTAGAAATATATCGATATTTTGGAGTAAGGCTTGTTACCATCTATCACTAACATGTTTGGTGACAGGAATTATCCATTTGTTCACCAGGATGACAATGCTCCTTGTCACAGGCCCAGAGCAGTTGATGATTGGTTTGACCAACAGGACATTGGCAGGGTGATGTGGCCTGCCCAGAGTCCGGATGCAAACATAATAGAAAATGTGTGGAATGATATGTCAAAACTTTTGACAAATACCCGTCTAACCAGCAGAGAAACTCTATTATATTCAGTGTTTCATGCTTGGGCCAGCATAAGCCCTGAACGCATCAGACAATTATATGAATCCTTGCCTCGTAGACTGGCACCTGTTATTAGGTCACGTGGCTATGCCACTAAGTACTAATTTTGGACTTGAAACTGCATATTTTAGTAGAATGTATATTTTGTTCTCATTTTGTGATTTTTTGTGAAATTTGATGTTAATAAAATGATACCAGGAGCATATCATTACACAGTCATTTATCTCCCCCATAGTATTGGTTCAGTAGGGGTGACACTTCTATTGTCCAGTGTGTGTAGCTGTAGTCGTATACATATACAGAATGAAGCTATGAATGACTATCACAAAAATTTTCAATGTGTGTGTTGCTGGTGGTGGTGGTGGGATACGTACATATATTTGATAACAATGTCTAGCCAAGCCATAAAGATACCTGTAAGTCCTAGCCTCATGACGAGGGTGGCTTTGGTGAAAGCTGACATTGGTTTGATTCCGCACAAATATGTCTTGTAATCATGTAATGAAAAGTCCAAATTTCAACAGATATTTCATCCTATCCAACCTGATTATTATGTTAGTAAAGGTATGCTCTATAGCGTGTATAAAATGCCTCTGTCTTCAATAATCTGTAAATGTAAAAAAGGAAATTGTCACAAAATACTTCCTCAAGTGGATTGTCAATGCGGTTTTGGTGCTATTTCCTTAATATGCAACTTCAAAACCACCCTATTAATTCTCAACACTATCTACCGTAAACACGTTTTCCAGATTCATTTATCTATACATTCATTTATTTTTTTGTCGTGGCGGCATTATGTCATTGCAATCTGTTGTCATTGTGGGTCACTGATCTCGATTCCTATTCCCTAGTGTTAGACCTTAAGTTTTGCAATTGGTTTTGTTTTGATACAAACTATTCAATCACTTCGCCTTTCCGAAAACGTTTTGCAAATGCTACATGACTGGGGTTATTATTCGTACAAAAATTAATGAAAAAAATCGGGGAATAAATCTTTTGTTGATTACAAATAGTTATTATTCCTAAAAATTCAGATTTGGTACAAGCTTGAGTTAGCTTTCCATCACACTTACAGAATAGATGAATTCACGAGTAGCAACCGGAATTTCGGTAATAAGGAGATAACATTTTCATTAATTGTTACTAATATTTAACCAAAGTTCTGAACAATGGTCTCACTTAAAACGTGTAAGGGCACATCGCGAGCAAAGGCAATCTTATTTTTCTTGGTCAGAACTTGTTCATGTAGATCCGTCTATATCTTTGGGGGCTGAAACTTCACCTCCGTTTTGTGCGTGCATTTTACTAGTCCTCTATATTTGTACAATAATTCTCCGTTACAAAATCTTTGTAAAGGAATTTACAAATATCCAAGCAGTCGGTAGATGTTGCACAAATGGGCAATAGCAATGTGGTTGACAGATCTCCAAAGAACGCATGTGATACCTAACTGATGAACATCGAGAACATTTAACATTAGTCGTGACAACAACTAATCTCATGCCATGTACTGGGACCGTTTTCTAGGATCGTCTCACACCTTGTCACGTAAGATAAGAAGCAGACTGCACACTCCCAAGCCAAGGCTATAAAAACTGATGTTGGTCACCGTTCGTTTAGATAAGCACCCCCAGCAACTAGGAGGTGAGTTGAAATATAAGTTTTAAAATATCTTGCCATGTATGGTAATATAGAAAGTCAAGGAAACGTATGAAAAACGTACAGAATGATATCAAAGAAAGAACACCACAAATTAACTAAACTTAAAGCTTTCAGTTGGTTAAGAGTTGAAATTTACAAATTAATTCACTTTCGTGGCTGCACGGAAAAGTTTTAAAGGTTTGCGGCCACGAGAAATTTTCCATATTTCAGATATGAAGTTTTTGGCCTTCGTACTCGTCGCCACCTTCGTTGTTGCACAGGCTGATTTTGTCCGCCGTAAGTAGATGAGTTTTACATTACTTGCAAGTATTAAGGTTACAATGTACAGGGTTACTACTTAATAGGGAATGTTTTTTATTTGAGCGCTGATTAATAATTTTTTTGGCTTGATTCATCAAAAAAGTATGTCACTGAGTGATAAAAAATATCCAGTCTTCTGTTGTGAGATATTTTTGTCAATAATATCAAATCTGACATAAGATGTCATTCAAAAGAAAAGAACACCCCCAGAAAACCATATCAACAGTTCGATGTCAGTATTAATTTTAAGCTAAGATATTAAAGAAAATGATAGCCTCCGGACAGTGATACGTTACACAGTCAACGAACTCATTACAGTAAATCATGAAAGTCATCAATAGCGGGTATGACCTCCAGCAGCCGCTCGCAGCGCCCTCATCCTACATGGCATACCCTGTGACAAGTTTTTTTAGAGTTTGGATGGGGATTCCATTCCACGCAGTGATATTTGCCTGTCGCAGTTCATCACTATTTACCGGTCGATGACCATAGCTATTAATTCTGTGAGTTACTTCCGCCCACAGATTTTAATTGGGCTCATATCTGGGGAGTTTGCAGGCCAGGGCAGTTATTCCATATTAAGTAGTAACCCTGTAGATTTGTTCAGCATTAGATGTATCTGATTAAACTACTTTTTCTCATCATTTTATACTTGTTAGCTTTTCCTCATTTTAATAAACAATTCTTTGGCAGTAAAGCACTGATGTGTTAGTAACACAATTGCAATTTAATTGGTTTTTGATTTATGTAATTAGTGAATCTGGACAATGAGATTGCGGCTCTCGTGAACGAAGTCAATTCTCCACGCCATGTCCGCGAAGCCAACCCGTAAGTACCAGAAATTTAAGACAGATGCATTATTATGAGGACCATCAATGTTAGTACCGTTGCGACCGTTCAGTGCCGAGCCCGTAACGCATAAAAACGTGCTGTCGCATTGATTTTTCGTGCTGGTACGGCAGAAGTTTGATATTCAACCTGCTCTTACGCGTTCTAGTGGTTGTAGCTAGATGCCATAAACATTCCATGCTCAAATATAAACGGTAGTCCGGATAAAAATAAAAAGAAATAAATGGAAAGTGAAATTAATGGAAAGTTGTTGGGTTTTAATTGTAGCTATTTTAATTTGGTGTTTACAGAATTTTGAATTAATTTTCATAGCGGGGAAGTGCTTTGAGCAGCTGTTTGGTTGGATATAAGTCTAATCTTTCAATTATTTTAAAGCGTATTTAATTGAAAATCATAAAACAAGGCCTGTGCGTTAAATTAAATGTTTAGTATTAAGAATTGATACTTGTTATAGCCTCACAACAGCCACCCAGACTGTCCTGGGTCAGGTACTGGAGGGGAAACTGAAGAATATCACAGATAAAATCAACAGTCTTGTGGCAACCGGTCACGTGGTATGAGATTTTTTTTACGTTATCAATGTTCAGAAGTACAAAAGTAAGGACATCTGATTTCATTTTAAGTCCATGAGCCAGACAATATTCATATTCTTTAAATCTAAGTTCGATAAAAAATATCTAAAGACACTATGCATTTGCTGCTTGTGACGTATTTTGAATTTTGACTGGATAGAAATGTTTCATCTCAAATTGGCCTTCTTTTCTAGGTCGGCAAGGGCCTGCTAGAGCAGGCTAAGCAGATTGCAGATCAACTTAAAGAAATGGGCGGCAAGTACCTGACCGACGCCAAGGCTATCCTTAGCACACTGAAGAGCCAATTTTCTGGCTGGTTCCAAGGCTTATTGGACATGTTCGGTGGTCTTTTCGGTAGGAATCAAATACTTATTTACTGTATCTTAAATGTTTATTTATCGTTTGAAATATGCATTATCTGTAAAGTTGAGATCGAATGCATATAGCAAATCGGTGTGTTTATGCTGTCTTAGCAAGACCGCATACAATACGGCACCATAAGATGAGACAAGCAAATTCTATTAAGACCATTTGTGAAGTGCAAATTCTTAAAACAAAGAACATGCTGTTCGGTGGATCACATTTCATTTTAGTACAAGGCTCTTTATTGGTACTTGGCGTTTCTGAACTTCAATATATATATATATATATATATATATATATATATATATATTCCTATCATATTGCAGCTTTGTGACCATTATCAAAGCCATTGTGTCAAACGCGCCGGATGTAACGAAACTGAGGGTCCGTGTAACAGAAAGTCCGCCCTCCATTTAGTTATAATGGACATCTGACCTATGTGGGTCAAAATCTTAGGCGAGGCTTACCTGTGCAAATGAATGGGAAGCGGACACCCTATCATGGGGAACTTACACGTTACACCGGAATCAAAGCCTTTTAGTCATATGAAGTGAAATTTCGTTGAATTACAGAGCTTTTTGAAAACTCAGTTGGCAAAGTTCAATGTGCATTTTTTATTTCATCTTTGTTTATTTTCAGGCAAGCGTGATTTGTTCGAAAACTTCGAAGAAGAACTTTTGGATGAGGTAAGAACGTCAATTTGTCGGCATCAAATCAGCTCTGTTTAAATTGTTAAGGTACTTTTACTAAGGGGGTTATAGAAGGTAAGACTTAGGTTTTACATTCTTAAGTCTAACGATCAAAACACTCTCTTGATTAGTTGATATTTACTTCTGCCATGGTATCACGTTGCCGGTTTAGGGTGCGTGCAATTTATTTGGCTGAATTGGTTCTTTACCGAAAACAGTATCGTTTTGTATATACCATCAGACTGTGGCACTGGTTCTGGCTGACCGTGGTGTAGCTGAATGGTGGCAGGGAGTGAAGGACACCTTTTCTCAGGTTCTGGGAGGTTTCAGCTCCAAGTTCGCTGACCTTCAAGTCTTCGTCAAACAGTTCGCTGGAGATCTGTGGGGCAAAGTTAAGGGACACTTCGACAACGTCAAGCTCATCGCCCAAGAGGTAATGAATAATTATTTGAAAAATTCGAACACACTTTTCGTCTGCGTAATAGTTTAAAAAAAAAAGCTAATTTTTTCAGTGCCAGACATTTGGTGTATGTGTATTTCAGCATGGTTTGTTTCGTGTAACAAAACTCTAGTTGCACAACTTGCAATGATGTGCCTATTTTTAGCCTCTTTTAACTAAGACTTAAAATTGCTTGTAATTTAGTTTAACTTTTGTTGCTACGTTTTCGGAATTTCTTACAAGTGCAGAATATTATGTCTTCAGCACATGCGCATGAAATATAGTAACTCTACAGCATAAGTAACCTTCAATCAATACAAAATCTGTCACTTTCAGTACCTTGCCCACGCCAAGGATGCTAGCCTTGCCGCCACCAAGGAACTTCTGGAGTTCTTGGAGCCTTACAAGCAGGATCTCGGAAGTCTGTGGACCCAGGTGGTGCAGGCTGCCTACAACGTCAAGCACATTGTCTTGACCGGATCTACTCCACCCTCTGTACCCCCAACTACGCCTCTTTAATCTTATTGATAAACACGGACAGTGCAAGTTAATTTGTGACAAATGAGCGAATTTTGAAAACAAGAGTTATGTAGGTGGTGAGCAATTATAAGAAATAAAATGTTTAAAGCATTTATATTATGCATGAAAAACGAACGATTTGACATAACGCGCTAATGTCATTGACTTGAATAAATCCGGAAAAAAACATGAAAATTATCCATTATCTAGAAATACATTTTGGCGCAATCTTCTGAAATAAACAAAGAGGGGAAACTACAGTTGTACGACCGTCCGCCAAAAGAAAAGTTTCGATGCAACGTGACGCGGCGCAATCAGCATACTTTCTAATAGAAAATTTTGCCACTTATCCGCCCCGAAAGAAACACTCCGATCCACAAAGAAATCATTGTGGTTTGGTATTTCGAAATAAGGAAAAGAATAATGAAATAACAAATAAATTGTTAAAAAACATACGTTTTACGTTGTAATAAGAGTGAACCACCTCTGACTGCTTTCTGTCCATTCGATTCTTCACATTAATTTATTTGTGTGCTTAAAGCAAAGATGGCATTTTTTTTTCTATAAAAAATAATATAATTTATTTTTGATTCATAGAATATGTATTTACAGATATCGATATGCAATGAATAAACACATAATCTGTATTGAATTTTGACACTGCGCACGAGGTCTCAAGGTGGCGAGGATGACAATGGATTTAGTTCGAACCAGACGAATTAAAAATTGTAGCAAATGGATTTGGATAAAGTAAATGGCATTGACTTGCGCATCTAAAAAAGAGCCAAAAGTAATAAATGCAAAATCAATCTATCTTCATCTTCTTCGTCAAAACACTCACCTCAACATGCTCATGTCACATATCTAACAGTAATCGCTGTTCGTTTTTTCTCCAATCTTCCATAGATATCGTTTTATCTTTTTATTGATTTATTATTCGCACCGTTTCAGCTGCTGAGGACGTGGTTTATATATTACGTATATATTTATATATATCACAATGTTTCAGCTGCTGCTATTGTTGAGGGCGAGATCCAGACTGCAGTTCGTGCTTTCAGGTCTGTTTTTGATGAGGAAATCAAGCGTGATTTGGACGAGGAGAAGAGAGCGTAAGTGACTACTTATCGATTCCCAGATATGATAATCGTTTTGATCGTTTACACGTTCTACGCATGTTTTTAAAGTCGCTGACTAGCGCTGACATGGTAAAAAAAACTGTAGGAATATTATTATTGCTCATCTTAAGGTAAGCTATATTTGGAACGTCACACCGATTTATGCCTATTGCAAGGTGCTATTTTCTAATCCAAGTGTCCTCCGCGCTGCCCAGACTGAGTTTGGAAAGTCTTTGGAGGCCGTAGAACAGGTTAACTCTGCCGTGGCCCATGAACAGAAGGTATGGGGGATACTGCCGTGAAGTTTTGTTATATTGGACAAAAAGTGACGGGGAGATGACACACAGAGAGCCTTTTTAATTCTAATGTTCTTTTTACTATCAGTTTTTCTATTCAGTTTTTCTTACTTATCTTTGATTTCAGTGGGTGGATTCCATTGGTCTCATTCGTGTATCTTCAAATGGATAACATTTATCAATTTTATAAGTTGATTTGGCCAATTGCGTATCACAATGGATCATTTTCTTGCTTTTTTAAATGGAATATGGATTCGGAACATTAATTATTGGTAAATAATAAAATGATAATCTGCTAATTATGAAATGGTGATCATTGAATTTAATTGATTCTTTTTTTCTTATTTAAAATTTAGGTCACCAACGTTGCCAACTACACGCGCTATTGCATAATTATTTAAATGGGGCTTGGCGAAAAAGACCGAGGGTTATATTTAGCACAGAAAAAAAAATACACGATCTGTTCAAATTTCAACTCGCTTTAAATGGATTTGTAAACATCTTTTTAAAATTTCAGTATAAGTATCTCAAAAAGCCGGTGATTTGATGGTAAAATGAATCCACTATGAATATCATTGTGGTTATAAAATAAGTTATCTGCTTAAGCGTTATACTATTGTATGTATAAATTTCATGTGCTATCATTTTTCAAAGGCAAGAGAGGACTTCTAGATTGGTGGGCGAAAGTAAAAGACACATTGGGTGATGTAATGAAAAGCTTCAAGGGGAAATATGCTAACCTTGTAGCATACGTGAAGGGAAAGCTTGGTGAAGCCGTGAATCAGACCAGATTCTAGGTGCCCTCACTGCCCAAGCCAAGCAGTCCATTGAGGACGGCCTTAAGTCCCTAAGTGGCCTGAAGGACAAGTTCACCGCTGCTTTTAAGGATCTTGCCGACAATTTCTTCAAGGGACTCCAGAGTCTTTTTGGTAAGTTTTCCAAGTCATTTGATATTCTAAAATGACGGTTTGTTTAGTTAAGAAAAGAAAAGAAACTGTACCTTTTTCGAACTTGACGTACAGGTACTTATCCTCTCTCCAGTTCGTAAAAACCCGCCAAATAACGTAATGTATGTGCAATTTGTATAATTTTCTCATAAAGCGGGAGATTTGATGCTAAAATTAATCCAATATGAATATTTTTGTATTTATACGATAAAATGCATATTCCATCTGCTATCATTTTTAAAAAGCAAGAGAGGACTTCGAGATTGGTGGGCGAAAGTAAAAGACACCTTAAATGACGTATTGAACAACCTCAAGGTGAAATATGCTGACCTTGTAGCATACGTGCAGGAGAAGCTTGGTGACGCTGTGAACCAGACCAAAGGACATCTTGAAAATATCAAACTTATGACCACAACCGTAAGTAAAGTTCTGTAATTTGGTTATATACTGATATAGAACGTTGTTCAAATTTCAATATATGTATATTTACAGCAAAGTTTATATCATATTCTAGGTCCTACAAAATGCTCAACAGGCCGGTCTTGATAAGCTCGAGGGACTTAAACAGGTTGTGGCTCCTTACAAGTCCGATCTGGGGGATTTGTGGCAACAGCTTCTGGATGCCATTGCTCAGGCTAAGGCTGCTTTACCTGGATACTAAACAACTTCAACTTATACGTTTTAAAGGATCCAGTGTAACTTAATTTTGTAATAATGTCAATTTTTGACATTATTGTTATATTGAAACAGTTTCATGAGAAATAAAAAACTGAATTTGATGTTTCACGGTGTTGTTAAACAGGGGTAATTTTTATCCGTTATTTCCGAAAAGTATTCTCCAATGCGACATTGAGCTGATCTAATAGACAATATATGGACATCGGGCTGCTATTTTGTGAGTTCAAACTTAGAAAATTCCTTGTTCTTTGAAATACAATGTATAACTTAATGTATAATTTATTTTAAACATGTTTGATATCCAATTCAAAACAACACTAATATTTGGGAAATTTGATCGCCTTTAAAATTACTTCATGAAAACAATGAAGAATTGAAAAAATGTTTTAGATAAAATAGTTGGTCTTAAATCTTTATATTATTACACAATAATACTGATAAGAGGTGGGGAGTTTGTTGAAAGAAAAAATATGGAATTTGTCAAAATGCAGATCGGTCAATTGCTTTGTAAAATATCGCCTTACAATAAGACATAAGCACAAATGTGTAAAAATAATCTAAAAGGCGACAGAAAAGTTGAAAAGATTGATCAAATTTCCAGAGACCAAGCTGCATGCAAAGATTTCTTCAAGGTAAAATGCTGTTGAAAAATAGCACTGGCCTTTTAGAAGTATTGAAATGCAAACAGGCATTTGGGGAAATTAAAACGAGCAAAATATATACATCCGATACTAAGGTCTTTCTTTCAATTCAAGATTCTTCGATGAGTGTATTACCTTCTGATGCGATAGAAAATTACAACCGTATTTGCCAGACAGGGATCTACCCTTTTTTATTGGTTAAAAACTCAAAATGATGAAAAATTAAGTCTTCACACAAATATTCAATTTTAGTGTAATCTCACACTGAGGTATTAGAGGGATTTGGTGGATATTGCAAACAACCAGTCTGCCTCTTGTTTTCCTTCTTTGTATTACTAGGGGCGAGCCAAATTTCCAAATAATGTAGCTGTAGTCATTTAACATTAGTCATGACGACAACTAATCTCACCAATCAGTCATGCTCTTCAAATATGTCCAACCAGTGCCATGTGCTGGGACCGTTTTCTAGGATCGTCTCACACCTTGTCAAGTAAGATAAGGCGCAGACTGCACACTCCCATATACCAAGGTTTTAAAAAACCGACGTTTGACACCGTTCGTCCACATTGGCACCCCCGCAACAAGGAGGTGAGTTGAAATATAAGTTTTAAAATACCTTGTCACATAAAGTAATATATGCAAGTCAAGGAAACGTATTTCAAACGAACAGAATGCTAACAAAGAGAGTACATCAGTTATGGGAATTTTCACAAGTAAACTTTAAGCTTTCAAGGTTTAGAATCTTTTGCCGTTGTGTGGAAACGTTTTAAAGGTTTGCCTTCACAAGAAATTTTCCATATTTCAGACATGAAGTTTTTGGCCCTCGTACTTGTCGCCACCTTCATTAGAGCACAGGCTGATTTTGTCCGCCGTAAGTAGAATACTTTTATATTATTTGCAAGTATTTCGATTGGATTTGTTCAGCATTATCTGATATTACAACTTTTTCTCATCATTTTATTTTCGTTAAAAAGAAGCGGAGGTTGAAGTAATCTTTTTCTTCATTTTAACAACAATTCTTTGGGAGTAAAACAGTGATGTGTTAGAAACAGTATACATACCATAATATTTAATATATAACAGTATATATACTACAAGTTAAATTGATTTTTAATTTATGTCATTAGTGAATCTGGACAATGAGATTGCAGCTCTCGTGAACGAAGTCAATTTTCCACGCCATGTCCGCGAAACCAACCCGTAAGTACCAGAAATTTAAGACAGATGCATTATTATGAGGACCATCAATGTTAGTACCGTTGCGACCGGTTAGTACCAACGCATTGATTTTTCGTGCCAGTACAGCAGAAGTTTGAATTTAGCCCGCTTTTACGAGTTATCTTGGTTGTAGCTGGATGCCATCAACATTCTATGCTCAAGTTTAAACATGGTAGCAATATTTTTGTAAAAAAACTAAAAGACCTTAAAGGAAAGTCCTTGTGCTGTTGAAAAGTAAATTTAATTGTTAGGTATTTTAATTGGTGTTTAGAGAATTTCAAATTAATCAATTTTCAAAGCAGAAAAGTGCTTTCATCAGTTAGTTGGATATAAGTCTATTATTTAAATTATTTTAATGCGTATTTAACTGAAAATCCAAAAATAAGTCCAATTACCAACCAAACCCCAATATAGAGGTGCATTTCATATGCTGATGTGTCCAAAAATAAAATTGAATGAATTCAAAGTTGTATTCAATTTTTTAAAACATATATGTGTATAAAACAAAAATCCACGGCTGTCTCAATTTAAATCCAAATTTTAGTTTTTACCATGTGTTAACATTACACAAAGAGCCCTAAATGGTAACGTATGTTCCGGAAACGTATGGTTACGTTTGTTCCGGGTCCTTAATATTTAATTTTAATACCGAGTTCCGATATATTTTGTAGTGATTCAGTCACGGTGAATAATACATGACGTAACCTTGAGCGTTTTTCTAAATATTTAAACTGTAACCCAAGGGGCTTTGCGTCATGGCTAATACTAGATAATGTATGTTCCCCAGAAAAAATGTCAAAAAGTTTCATTTTGTTCAAGCACATGGTGCAATAGAAAACAGTGTTTTCTGTTGTTGACCGAAAATATATTGTGATTAGATGATAGTTTGACATTTCTGATGTAATTTTTGGATCACGAGGGGAAAAATAATTTATCTAACGCTTATTTTACTGTTGGTAGAGTGTATTTTCCCCTTTTTGCTCAAAATTCAGAGACAAGCAAACTTAAGCAGCTCAAAATCAATTAACTGCTCTATACAGAGATCATTATATTTTTTACAACATTATACTTGTAAAGGATAAACTGAAGAACAAAACCAGTGATGATTGAATTTTCAAAGTGAGTAAAACGTTTCTCAGCTGGACGTTGTGCATTTGTGACAGTGACGTATGTACCTTTTTGGGGATGAATCATTTTATATTATTCATGGTTCTAGGAGAGTGAAACTTTGATACAAACTTTTTCGTGTGGGACCCTAAAACACTCAAACATAGTTTGTAATCTGCGCACTAAATATTTTTAAGAGCATGCCTCCGACATCAATTGCACCTCTATATTGGATTTGGGTGGAATGCATTTAATCGAATGTTTAATATTAGGATCTGATACTTGTTATAGCCTTACAAGAGCCACCCAGACTGCTCTTGGCCAGGTACTGGAGGAGAAACTGAAGAATATCACAGACAAAATCAACAGTCTTGTGGCAACTGGTCACACAGTTAGTGATTTTTGTTAATTATCAATGTGCAGAAGTAATCGATAAAAATGTCTTAAGACAATGTGCTCTTGCTACTTGTGACGTATTTAATATGACAATTTAATATGACACTTTTGTTTTGTGACACTGACGATTTAATCTAAAAGACAAATCAACGATTCATTTTTAACCAATATAAATACTTTTAAAAAATTTTTTCGATCATCTTATTAAATAAAAGTGGTAATAATGATTCATCATTATCAAAATGTCTTACGCTGTAATATAAGGTCAGCAATGGCCTGCTGCAGCAGGCTAAGCAGCTGGCAGACCAACTTAAAGAAATGGGCGGCAAGTACTTGGCCGACGCCAAGGCTATCCTTAGCACACTAAAGAGACAATTTTCTGCCTGGTTCCAAGGCTTTTTGGACGTAGTCAAATGTTTTTGCTCCTATAGCTGTTGTGATTTCTCATATTTTTCATAATTAATCCTGGTTACATTTCATTAACATACTTTATTATTTTTATATTTAGCACTTATATAGTTTGGGGGATGTTTATTATCTCCCCAGTTTTGTAACTTTGTATCTTATTAGTTTTCGTCATTAATAAATGACAATTTCAGTCATATGGACTTATCCTACTTAATTTGGAGCAAAAACAGAGCTTCGTTGTGCTTGTGAACATTTGGCTACATAAATGGCCTTTTTGGTTAGTCACAAATTTATAATTGCTGCATCTTAGAGCGAATTCAGAACAGCGGACTAACAGATCCATGAATGAAATATGGTGACCCACTTAAAAGCTTGCCGCTTAATTTCTAATTAGACACTGAATAGATTCTCCGTGTTGATTACGTTTGGGTCGGCCATATTTGATTCGCAAATCTGTAAGTCCGGTGTTCTGAACGCATTCTTAAATGACTTATATGTGTGTGTGTGTGTGTGTGTGTGTGTGTTCTTTTTTTCTTTTTATCATAAATATATATATATATATTGGAAATAGTAACATCAGACACATAAAAATTATCAGGGAAGAGTACATTTAACTTCATAGAGTTGGGAAAGCATGCTGCGATCCTGATTTGGCGGTTAAACATGCAGCGATGACAGGAATCGTTTTTCGTGAGTTACACGACAAAAAGTTGGAACTGGATATACCAAATTTAATTAGTCTCAAAATTTTTTTTTCATGTGACCGGGTACTTACGTCATCACTGGAACCCCCCCCCCATTAACGCTAGGTACCTGGGCCGAATCTGATTTGGAAAACGAAACTACACGCTAGCTGTGGTTTCACTGTCGTGCGTGTCTGAAGGAAACGAAAAAGAATTAGGTAATAAAATCTGTGATTACACTCAGATGACAGGATTTCCTTTACACATTGTTTTTTTATAAAAATCAGAGTGTATTTCAGGTAGTTTAATCCCAAAATTGAACGATTTCTGTTGTTCACATGTATAGCAGATTTTGTACTGAAGTTGGAAATGGAAACGATGATAGTGCACCGCTTTCTTCACCTGTTTTATTCACCCATCAAAATTTGCGAGGAAGAGCAATTTTTGTTTTTCCCTGGTGTATGTGCCATAAATGATCCGAGGTGACCAAAATACATGATTATACTATTTTAAGAGCTTTGTTTGTTATAAGGAACAGCTGTAAAACAGACTGGTATGTCTGTTTCCCAGATTTAAGCCCTGTTTCAGTGTC